AATTACCCTAACCACTCCAATTTGGAGGAGTCATTTGGAGAGTTTTGAGTGAAATCCAATCCTTAGAACTATGAATTACCCTAACCACTCCAATTTGGAGGAGTCATTTGGAGAGTTTTGAGTGAAATCCAATCCTTAGAACTATGAATTACCCTAACCACTCCAATTTGGAGGAGTCATTTGGAGAGTTTTGAGTGAAATCCAATCCTTAGAACTATGAATTACCCTAACCACTCCAATTTGGAGGAGTCATTTGGAGAGTTTTGAGTGAAATCCAATCCTTAGAACTATGAATTACCCTAACCACTCCAATTTGGAGGAGTCATTTGGAGAGTTTTGAGTGAAATCCAATCCTTAGAACTATGAATTACCCTAACCACTCCAATTTGGAGGAGTCATTTGGAGAGTTTTGAGTGAAATCCAATCCTTAGAACTATGAATTACCCTAACCACTCCAATTTGGAGGAGTCATTTGGAGAGTTTTGAGTGAAATCCAATCCTTAGAACTATGAATTACCCTAACCACTCCAATTTGGAGGAGTCATTTGGAGAGTTTTGAGTGAAATCCAATCCTTAGAACTATGAATTACCCTAACCACTCCAATTTGGAGGAGTCATTTGGAGAGTTTTGAGTGAAATCCAATCCTTAGAACTATGAATTACCCTAACCACTCCAATTTGGAGGAGTCATTTGGAGAGTTTTGAGTGAAATCCAATCCTTAGAACTATGAATTACCCTAACCACTCCAATTTGGAGGAGTCATTTGGAGAGTTTTGAGTGAAATCCAATCCTTAGAACTATGAATTACCCTAACCACTCCAATTTGGAGGAGTCATTTGGAGAGTTTTGAGTGAAATCCAATCCTTAGAACTATGAATTACCCTAACCACTCCAATTTGGAGGAGTCATTTGGTGAGTTTTGAGTGAAATCCAATCGCTCGAACTATGAATTACCCCAACCACTCCAATTTGGAACGAACTGCCTTCGAAGTTAAATTGTCCAATTTGTTACACCTATTGATTTCGGACCGAGCCCAAAACTAGGGCAGCATCATAATATGGGGGGATGAGTCGTTTGTGTGTTTTGAGTGAAATCCAATCGCTAGAACTATGAATTAACCCAACCACTCTAATTTGGAACGAACTGCCTTTGAACTTGAATTGTCCAATTTCTTACACCTATTGATATCGGATCGAGCCCAAAACTTCGGCAACATCATAATATGGTGGAACCACTCCAATTTGGAACGAACTGCCTTCGAAGTTAAATTGTCCAATTTGTTACACCTATTGATTTCGGACCGAGCCCAAAACTTGGGCACCATCATAATATGGTGGGAGGAGTCATTTGGTGAGTTTTGATTGAAATCCAATCGCTAGAAGGATGGAATACACTAACCAGTCCAATTAGGAACGAACTGCCATTGAACTTCAATTGTCCAATTTCTTACACCTATTGAGTTCGGATCGATCCCAAAAATTGGCCCACATCATAATATGGTGGGAGGAGTCTTTTGGTGTGTTTTGATTGAAATCCAATCTTTAGAACTATGAATTACCCCAACGACACCAATTTGGAACGAACAGCCTTTGAACTTGAATTGTCCAATCTCTTACACCTATTGATTTCGGATCGAGCCCAAAACTTGGGAAAGATCATAATATGGTGGGAGGAGTCATTTTGTTGAGCTTTGAGTGAAATCCAATCGTTAGAAGTAAGAATTACCCTAACCACTCCAATTTGGAACGAACTGCCTTTGAACTTGAAATGTCCAATTTCTTACACCTATTGGTTTCGGATCGAGCCCAAAACTTGGGCAACATCATAATATGGTGGGAGGAGTCATTTGGTGTGTTTTGAGTGAAATCCAATCGCTAGAACTATGAATTACCCCAACCACTCCAATTTGAAACGAACTGCCTTTGAACTTGAATTGTCCAATTTCTTACACCTATTTATTTCGGATCGAACCCAAAACTTGGGCAACATCATAATATGGTGGGAGGAGTCATTTGTTGCGTTTTGAGTGAAATCCAATCGCTAGAAGTATGGAATACACCTACCACTCCAATTAGGAACGAACTGCCGCTGAACTTGAATTGTCCAATTTCTCACACCTATTGATATCGGATCGAGCCCAAAACTTGGGCACCATCGTAATATGGCGGGAGGAGTCATTTGGTGTATTTTCAGGGAAATCCAATAGCCAGAACTATGAATTACCCCAACCACTCCAATTTGGAACGAACTGCCTTTGAACTTGAATTGTCCAATTTCTTACACGTACTGATTTCGTATTGAGCCCAAACCTTGGGCAACATCATAATATGCTGGGAGGAGTCATTTGTGAGTTTTGAGTGAAATCCAATCGCTAGAAGTATGGAATACACCAACCACTCCAATTCGGAACGAACTGCCGTTGAACTTGAATTGTCCAATTTCTCACACCTATTGATTTTGGATCGAGCCCAAAACATGGGCACCACCATAATATGGTGGGAGGAGTCATTTGGTGTGTTTTGAGTGAAATCCAATAGCCAGAACTATGAATTACCCCAACCTCACCAATTTCGAACGAACTGCATTTGAACTTGAATTGTCCAATTTCTTACACGTATTGATTTCGGATCGAGCCCAAAACTTGGGCAACATCATAATATGGTGGGAGGAGTCATTTGGTTTGTTTTGAGTGAAATCCAATCGCTAGAACTATGAATTTCCCCAACCACTCCAATTCGGAACGAACTGCCTTTGAACTTGAATTCTCCAATTTCATACACCTATTGATTTCGGATCGAGCCCAAAACTTGGGCAACATCATAATATGGTGGGAGGAGTCATTTGGTGTGTTTTGAGTGAAATCCAATCGCAAGAACTATGAGTTACCCCAACCACTCCAATTTGGAACGAACTCCCTTTGAACTTGAATTTTCCAATTTCTTACACCTATTGATTTCGGATCGTAACCAAAACTTGGGCAACAGCATAATATGGTGGGAGGAGTCATTTGGTGAGTTTTGAGTAAAATCCAATCGCTAGAATTATGAAATACACCAACCACTCCAATTAGGAAAGAACTGGTGTTGAACTTGAATTGTCCAATTTCTTACACCTGTTGACTTCGTACCAAGCCCAAAACTTGGGCAACACCATAATATGGTGGGAGTAGTCATTTGGTGTGTTTTGAGTGAAATCCAATCGCCAGAACTATGAATTACCCCAACCACTCCAATTTGGAACAAACTGCCTTTGAACTTGAATTGTCCAATTTCTTAAACCTATTGATTTCGGATCGAGCCCAAAACTTGGGCAACATCATAATATGGTGGCAGGAGTCATTTGGTGAGTTTTAAGTGAAATCCAATCGCCAGAACTGTGAATTACCCCAATCACTCCAATTTGGAACGAACTGCCTTTGAACTTGAATTGTCCAATTTCTTACACCTATTGATTTCGGATCGAGCCCAAAACTTGGGCAACATCATAATATGGTGGGAGGAGTCATTTGGTGTGTTTTGAGTGAAATCCAATCTCCAGAACTATGAATTACCCCAACCACTCCAATTTGGAACGAACTGCCTTTGAACTTGAATTATAAAATTTCTAACACCTATTGAATTCTTATCGAGCCCAAAACTTGGGCAACATCATAATATGGTGGCAGGAGTCATTTGGTGAGTTTTGAGTGAAATCCAATCTCTAGAAGTATGGAATACACCAACCACTCCAATTAGGAACGAACTGCCGTTGAACTTGAACTGTCCAATTTCTTACACCTATTGATTTCGGATGGAGCCCAAAACTTGGGTAACATCATAATATGGTGGCAGGAGTCATTTGGTGAGTTTTGAGTGAAATCCAATCGCTAGAAGTTTGGAATACACCAACCACTCCAATTATTAACGAACCACCGTTGAACTTGAATTGTCCAATTTCTCACACCTATTGATTTCAGATCGAGCCCAAAACTTGGGCAACATCATAATATGGTGGGAGGAGTCATTTGGTGTGTTTTGAGTGAAATCCAATCACCAGAACTATGAATTACCCCAACTACTCCAATTTGGAACAAACTGCCTTTGAACTTGAATTGTCCAATTTCTTACACCTATTTATTTCGGATCGAGCCCAAAACTTGGGCAACATCATAATATGGTGGGAGGAGTCATTTGGTGTGTTTTGAGTGAAATCCAATCGCCAGAACTATGAATTACCCCAACCACTCCAATTTAGAACGAACTGCCTTTGAACTTGAATTGTCGAATTTCTAACACCTATTGAATTCGGATCGAGCCCAAAACTTGGGCAACATCATAATATGGTGGCAGGAGTCATTTGGGGAGTTTTGAGTTAAATCCAATCGCTAGAAGTATGGAATAAACCAACCACTAAAATTAGGAACGAACTGCCATTGAACTTGAATTGTCCAATTTCTTACACCTATTGATTTCGGATCGAGCCCAAAACTTGGGCAACATCATAATATGGTGGGAGGAGTCATTTGGTGAGTTTTGAGTGAAATCCAATCGCTAGAAATGTCACTACTACAAAAATTGAAATAGACGACGGGAAAATATCGTCGTCTTTTTCTTTTTCAAACCGTCGTTAAATCGACCGTCATCTTTTTAAATGTCAAACTACGACGGTAATTAAACGTCGTCTATAACACGTAAAGACGACGGTTTTAATAAAAAAACCGTCGTTATTTTTGGGTAAAGACGACTGTATTTTTTAAAACCGTCGTTGATTGTATATAAAGATGACGGTTTTTTGTTAAAAAGCGTCGTTGATTGTATATAAAGACGACATTATTGTGTTAAAAATGGTCGTTGATTATATTTACAGATGACGATTTTTCCAATAAGGCCATCGTTTTATTATCTTTAAATCTGTCGTCTAATGCGTTCCCAAGCTGTTACATTTAGGTTTTTGTTTCATATGATTCTATACAACGATTTTAACTAAAAAACCAATTATAATGCTTTATTAACAAATATATATGCTCAAAAATTATTTCTTACATAAAACTTAAAAATTCAATAGTTATTACATAGTCAACAAATCTTTGCTCTATTACATACATACTTCCTACATATAATTATAAATAATGGAGCTCACAAATTCTACTAATTTGATCTTAACTTCATCAAATTGTTCTTCAGTGTATGAGTTAGCTTTGCCTTCTTGCACATTTTCCAAGCTGTTCTATTCTCCTCCCGTGTAGCGATATCAGCAACAACAAGTTAAGTACATATCTGAAATCATAACTACAGATGATTCTCAATTAACAAAGAGGAAAACCATTTTCTTTTATAACTTTGGTTATGAAATATATAACAAAATGCAAAGGCCTTTGCTTCTGAAAAGGAGCAAAAGTTTGTCAACCAATTCATAGTAAAAAAGAAAAAACTAGTGAACCTAACCAGAGAAATGCTAACCTGCAAAACCAACTCCAATACTTTAACCACAGCATTAATACTTGAGATTTTCTTCTCATGGATTATGATTAGAGGATTTTCCAATTCCTATCAACACATACACAAGTTTGAAGATAATTAGCATCAAGCAAAAAGGGACTTGAGGTGCTGCTAACTTTAACAAGCAACCCTCTTAACAGTTTCAAGACATAGTTATCGCTGAGTCAAACTAAAACTTACACATTTTTTATTTGTCTGGTTGGTGATGAAATAAGGGGATATGTAGCCCCTGTCTAGCTTCATTCCCTCAACAACCTCGAACTCATTGTCCAATATTTTCCCATCATGCAGAAATTAACATAGTGTGAAGCTTACATGTCTTGGGTATCATTTGGTAATAAAAAAACTAAAATAAAATTATTTGCCCTCCAATATATTTCTGTAAAAATTATTTGACTAGAAACAAACATAGGCAGATAAAGTCACATACCCATCAGCACAGCCACACTGTCCAGGTAAAACTAAAAAGAGATAAAACTGAAAAGTAATAAAACAGAGGATTTGCTCTACATTAGAACCAAATTTAACCCACTCAAATAGAACCAAATATATATATAAGCAATAGCAATTATCAAATTAAACCAAACAAAACATAAGCCTCATTCAAAACAAAATATTGAACCCAGATGCTAACTTTAACAACAAAGGTCAAGGAAATTGTACCTTGATAAGATATTTTACTCCCCCAAAGGTCAAGGTATTGTAGTTTAGAAATTACCTGAGGAAAATCATTACAAAACATGAAGTTAAGAAATGAAATGGATGCTTAATTAATTTGTGATTTCCAAATTATACATAATCAAATATCTGAAAAACCAAGAATTAAATTGATTAGGAATAATAGTTGATCTCATACTTTTCCTTTATTCCTAATCACAACTTCCCCAAGTCACGACTTCACTGATTTTTATAAACATCTGAAATCCACCAAGATTTTCTTTAGGAGGGTTTAAGCATAGGCTAAGATCATCGAACTGCACATATTGGTCCAGAGAGAATACAAGCCAAACTATGCTCCATTTCGTGCACTAGATATTTCTTGAAATAGAAAGGGGGAACTTCAACAGCAAATGACCAAATCACAGCTTAAAAGCTCAATGTCAACGCTACCATGGACATGAGCATTTTATATCATCCTATGCAAGCAATATGCAAGTGCTAGACGGTTACAAGGATCTGAATCAACTGGTTACTTGTATGTTTCTCAGAAACAAGGAAAAGAGTGTCCTTTATTGGTAATGATTACAATATATATTATTTTTGTCATCCTACGCTGCGCTGCATGTCTACAAAACCGACTGGAAACATGAAGTTAGACTATTGCTACACAAACCAATCAATTAATTTTAGTTGTCAATGCACTTAGGAATTCATATGCTGATTTAAATAAAAATCAAAACATAAACATACATTATATATGTGAGGCACATTCAATTCCAGCAAGTCCACAAGATCCTGCAGATTCCTAAACAAGAGATATGGATCTTATATAGAAGAACAAAATAATACAAACAAAATATACGGGTTAAAATAGTAAAGGAATCTTACAGAAATTAAACTATCACTCAAAACTCAAAGAGCAATATAGCTGAAATCTCTAAAATCTCTCTGAAATATTAGAATCACAAAAATCTTTAAAACATATGAGTGGTATTACAGAGAGAAAGAGAGAGCCTTACCTTGAGGTCCGGGATCGAAGAGAGAGGATTTGGAGTTGGGGTTGAGGTCGGGGTCGGAGAGTCGAGGAAAATGAAATGAAACCTCTTTGGCGATCTTCTTCTCTAAAAGGCTAGGACCGCGATGACCGTGACATCGACGAGCAGGCGACAAGCGCGATGACGACATTCACTTTGTTGATGACACCGATGGCCATCACCTTTTCGATTGGCTTTCTGATTCACTCTCTGGACCTCGAAGAGAAGTTACCTGCGATGATGACTATCCAGAAGATGCAGGCGACGACGATCCAGAAGACGGCGCCGACGTAGATCCTCCTGACGAAGCCGACACCAAAGTCCACCCTCCTTGTTGCCTCTGTCTCTCTGAGATGTGCGAGTCGGCTTAGAAAAGATTGAGCTGGGGAGAGAGGGTTTAGGTGCAGAGATGTGATAGAGAGGGTGAGAGAGAGAGGGTTTGAACTCAGATAGGGAGAGAGGGCTTCATCGAGAGGGATGAGAATTTTCATGGAGAAGGAAACTTAGAACATTGAGCGGGGGCGTGAAAAATTAGGTTGAGAAAGACAACTTTAGTTTTTGGTAAAGCTGAGAGGGACAACTTAAGTGAAATAGTTTTTAGTGTGTTTTGGACGCACGTCGGTTCTTCTTGACAACCGACGTGTTTTTGAAATATGTTTTGGATTACCACCGTATTAGATGCCTTAAGTCGCCGCTTTTATAACCACTGACGTGGTTTGTAGCCAATTTTAAAACCACGATGCTTTCTTCAAGTTCCGACGTCTTTTAAGTGACGTGTTTTTGCAATATTGGTGTAGTGTATGGAATACACCAATCACTCCAATTAGGAACGAATTGCCGTTGAACTTGAATTGTCCAATTTCTTACACCTATTGATTTCGGATCGA